CACCAATGAAAGGAGGCTGAGATAGACCTTAAACCAACTGCAACCCTCCCTCCACCCAAGTTCACAGTTATTGACACCCCATCTCAGCCACTTCTTGACGCCACCACCACTAGCCCAGCTGGTGGCAGGCCACCTAGCCTCAAGCAGCTTGGGAGAGGGGAGGAACAGCGGATGTCTTTCTGATGGTCTGAGAAGCACAGAATAACTTGCCATTTCTTGTGACTGGGGCAGATCAGAGGGATGCAGGAGCAAGGAGTTCCTAAGGCCAGTTTACATCTGGGGTTAAAAAGCCGTTGGACACGCAGCTGGAACAGCCATTGCAGGTGTGGAGAGCTGAATGTGGATTCATACAGCTCTGGGGGCTACAGGAAAGGACTTCTCCAAATTCTCCTGCTCCATCTTGGCTAAGAATGAAGCCCACAGCACCTCTCACCATTCCCATGCTCCCACTGCCCTGCATCCACCGGTGTTCTTCCACCTGCACCTGCAGGGTCACCCATCCCAAGCCCAAAACAGGCCTCCTCCCTCTCATGTGCCTGTGCCATACCCCAGCCTTGTCCCTTTGGCCTCCATGATCATCCTGCACGATGGAAACACGGCAAAGCACAATTTTGTGAGGAATCCTCCATTATCATTAATCCACTTGGCCCCTTTCTCTATGAGGAAATGTGATCTACACCCCCTTTGCAGGAGCTGGCTCCAGTCTCCCACCTCAGGCTAGATATTTCCTGAGTTGGTCAGTTACTGGTGTTCTGGGGCCTTTATCTCCCCTTTCTGAGCACAAGAAGGCCCTTCAAAATGGTCTGTCTTGTCCATCGGATGGTAAAGGCCAACCCCCCTGTCCTTCCTTGGCACAACTTCTAGAAAATGCAAGTTTCCTCAGGACTCTGAAGGAAGGCAATTGGCAAAAAGACAGCCAGGAAAACATTTTAGAAAGGCTGAATAAAATAATTTAAAGGTATTATTATTAATGATGGCAATTACAGCACTAGAAAGCTCAGTGGTTTTTCATACAGGACTGAAAAAGGAAAAGGAACAAACCCAAGCAGCCTCTATGAGAATGCAAGAGAAGCAGTAATGAGCTGTGGAAATCAAACAAGATCAGTCTCAGAGCAACCAAGCCAAATCCTCTGCTTGAGTAAACCAGCACAGGTCCCCTAGAGTTCAGGGGCTGGGGGGGAACCACAGCTACCTCCCTCTGACCAGGGCAGAGGATATTAAAACCGAGCTTTCCAAAGACCTTTCGGGAAGTCAGCTCAAAGTCACTGCAATTAAATGAGCCAAGGAATTCCCCCGAGGCTGTCCAAGAATCTCCACACTCCGTTCTGCTGAGCTGCTCTCCCGAGAGTCACCAAAACCAGTGTCACCCAACTACGACACCCTGATGGGCACCTCCACTTTCCTTCCTACCATCAGGCCATCAGCGTGGGACGTTTCCCGAGGACCGTGCAAAGGCCGCGGAGCTGACCGGTCATTAATTCTCAGGAAGCACCCACCGCCTCACTGGCAATTACTTAAACAAACTTCCCTTTCATGGTGTCTGAGCCAAAGCCTTTCTCCCTGACACGTCCCAGGAAAGTTTTATTTAAGGTAAGATAACATGAGGGTTACGCACACGAGCTGGGCTGCACCTGACTAAACAGCAGGCCCGGGGGCGAGGGCCGGATGGCTCGAGCAGCGTTTCACCGCCTCGCTCCTCTCCTCCCCGGCCAGCACGGCCCCTTCCAGCCCGCAGCCAAACAGCCCGCCCGTGATTTCCCCTTCTAGATGCAGCGTATATCCCTCATGCAAATCAGTCTCATAAATCACTGCATCCCAGCTGCACCGCCGAGTCATTTGCTAGGAAAATACTGTTCCAACCGGAGGACCCGGCCTAGCCACAGTGGTCTTTATGAGGGGTAATAGCCAGGATAAGGGGTGACTTGGAGACCTGCCAGCCTCCCAAAATGATTCATCCAGCCTGACCTTAAATCTCAGAGCCTGACTATTGCTGATGGAGCTGCCTTCGCAGGCAGGAAGCATCAGTCACGGCCCCGTTCATATCCCCTCCCTGCCCGTGGCTACAGAGCCCCAGGGGCACGTGAGAACCCCCAGCCTGAAAACCTGGGGTTTGGGTTATGAACAACCTCAAAAGAACCGAAAAAGAGGTTCTCCAAAAACACCAACCCAAAGCATCATTGAGCTCTGTGCAGAGAATCAGCCCCAGCAATTCGGTTTCTGCAACTTCACTTAAAGCTGCAGCTTTTGTTTATCTCACCTAGAATCATAGAATCACAGAATGGTTTGGTTGGAAGGGACCTCAAAGACCATCCAGTTCCAAACCCTTTGCCACGGGCAGGGACACCTCCCACCAGACCAGGTTGCTCCAAAGCCCCCTCCAACCTGCCCTTGAACCCCTCCAGGGATGGGGCAGCCACAGCTTCTCTGGGCAACCTGGGCCAGGCTCTCACCACCCTCACAGCAATGAAGTTCTTCCCCACATCTCATCTCAATCTCCCCTCTTTCAGTTTCAAACCCTTCCCCCTCGTCCTATGGCTCCCCTCCCTCATCCAGAGTCCCTCCCCATCTCTCCTGGAGCTCCTTTAGGGGCTGGAAGGGGCTCTAAGGTCTCCCCGGAGCCTTCTCTTCTCCAGGCTGAACCCTCCCCAACTCTCTCAGCCTGTCCTCACAATAGAGGAGCTCCAGTCCTCTGATCATCTTGGTGGCCTCCTCTGGTCCCACTCCAACAGGTCCATGTCCTTCCTGTGCTGAGGACTCCAGAGCTGGACACATGGTTTTGAGAAAGACCTTATTGGTTTCAGTGATTTACACTTCTATTAGCTGAGCTATTGGTCCCCAAACTCTGAGAATTTCTTAGATTTTAAGACTTCTGGTCTTTGAAGTGGTATTTTATCTCTGATTCTACCCAGCCATCTCAGTTTGCTGCAGTTAATCCAATAGTAACCCAAGCATCTCTAGTTCTCACGTCTTTCCACAGTATTTAGTACACTCCCAAACAATTTATTCTTATTTACAGACACCAGGACTAGGCTTTGCAAACCAGACCTTCGACCCACCTCCATGTAGACCCGTGAGATACCATAGAGTTGCTTGCAAGCGTAGGAGTCATTTTTTCAGAGAAGGCAGCATTAAGTTACCAAAGTAGAGATCCATTTAAGTCAAAAGTTTAATAGTTTTGCTGTGGTAAGAGAAAAATCTCAGCATATCAAAGAGTCAAGGGAGGAATATTGCACTCAGCTGAGAAAATGGACAAGCTGTCAGACACAAAAGCCTTTCTACAGCTCTGACAAAGAAACAATAAACTCAAGCTCCTGTAGAGCTTAGCTTAAACCAAAAGGATAGAAAAAGGAGACAAAATATGGAATTAAGGTATTTCCCCTCTATTGATATTAACTACAGTAATGGGGTAACATATAAGCCATAAGAAACCCTAATGTTCATAAGAAAAAATAAACTAGAAAGGCTGGGAATTTTCAGTAATGTCCTAGAAAGGGATGTTTTAGACCATTTAGACCACATCACAGGTATTCAAGGCTTTAAGCACACTCCCCACAGCCAGTACTAGCTGTCAGGCTACGGCAGCAGACATCGGGAGCCCAGAGTAGCTCTCGGTGGGTCTCTGGCCCCACAGTGCTGGAGCTTAGCACTGCCCACAGGTATGTGGAACCCTGAGGTGGTTGAAAAGGATGGATCCAGAACAGGGATTGCTCAAAAAGAAGATTTCTATTCCTCAGTGTGCTCATTACTGCACCTCTCATTACCGTGGGCCAGTTGATGTCCACCAGACACCACTGTCAGTTCTAGCATTCCCCAGAGAAGTCCTGGTGCACTCCCAGCTTCCCTGTTAGGGCCAGACACACCAATGTCTAGCCCAGAGGTAGCCCCAGGAGGGAGCGGACTTGTCCAAACACACGTGGGGGACAGGGCTCTCTGCCATCCACCAAAATGCTTTGACCCCTGCCCTCCTGGAATGAAACCAGCCCCTCAAAACTACCAGAGCGAGGAAGAGAAAATTGCAAATGACTTAAAGTGGGATGGAAAACTCCTGAGTTTGACGATCACAAGCTGAGGCCGCTAATCTTCTTGTCATGGGAGCAGACTCACCCGGCAGAAGGGAATTCCTGCCTTTGACTGGACTAATTAAAGGCATCGAACTCTGCACCCGTTATGGCTTGATGTGCCTTAATGCGATGTGACATTCGCCATGCGGGCGGAAGGCAGACACACACACATACGGTTCTCATTGCTCAACGGGGTTTGGCGTCCACGGGGGTGTCCCAGCTGCAGCACACTCCCCCCGGGGTGGGGAGCTGTGTGGGGTGGCAAAGTGGGGGATAATCACTCATCCCACCTCAGAGCCACTAAGGACCCAGGGTGGCCAGACGCTCCGCACGTCACAGAATCACATGGGGTTGGAAGGGACCTCCGGAGATCATCTAGTCCAACCCCCTGCCAGAGCAGGTCCACCCAGAGCAGGTTGCACAGGAACGTATCCAGGTGGGTTTTGAATATCTCCAGAGAAGGAGACTCCACCACCTCTCTGGGCAGCCTCTCCCAGGGCTCTGCCAACCTCAAAGTAAAGAAGTTCCTCCTCATGTTTAGGTGGAACTTCTTATATTCAAGTTTGTGCCCATTTCCTCTTGTCCTATCCCTGGGCACCACTGAAAAAAGACTGGCCCACAGACAGGTCACATTTAGGGGAGAGGAGCATGGTCCAACGCAATGCTGAAAGGTGGTTTGAGAAGGTGGAGACAGGACTGGGATTTAAAGCTCAAGTGAAATGAAGGTGGAAGGTGCTGAATGAGCAGTTACCGTTTCTAACCCGTGCAGGTACAGGAACAACCAGTTGCTGTGCCTTGGGAGTGCAGAGTATTTCCAAGCACAATGGCACACACGGTTGTAAAGATGTCAAATCAGAGAAGATTTAAGATGCAAGATGAACCAACTGGGTATTTTTGGATGGAGCAATATGAACCATGAGTATTGCTTGTGTTCCTTACCTCCTGTCCTGGACCAGCCTGTTGAAGTCCAAGGATAGGTCACCACACTGGACCACGTTCAGCAGAATCCTGAACCAGGAAGAAAACTTGCTTTAGACAGTGATGGGAAGAAGACCAACCTTCTCAGACCTCAAAGCCAAAAGCCCATGTCTTCGCAGAACACTGCAGTGCAGGAAGCAGTGTAGCATGGGCAGAGAGGCATGGAGCATTCGTTACAGCCCTGGACCAGCCGAGCACTCACACCCAGTGATGCCGCAGCACCGGGAGGGCACGGGATGGCAGCCGGTGGCAGATGACCCTGGGATGGTTGTGCCACAGGAGCACCTGGCTCTGAGACCTGGGCTGAGACGCAGGCCCTGACAAACAGTACAGCTTTCTCAGTGGCACTGCAAGAAATCAACTTTCCACTTCAATTATCGTTTTTTCTGTAAAAGATTAGAGCTCCTTACCACCATTACTGTCATCTAAAGGTGTTGGGCTGCTGGGTCTCCTGGCAGCAGGCGGTGTGTTTACACCCACAGGTCCCACGTTCATTTCCAGTTAATGATCCATAAGAGGGACTGCAGCATTCTTTGAGGAAGATTGCTTGGAAGCAACTGATAGACTGCCTCGGCTAGGGTAGAAACAAAGCACTGAAATACCATCACGAGGTATAAATCAGGCCAAGCCGTGATGCTCTGTAAGGAACAGCACCGTTTGGTGCACACTAGAACCAACAGCTGGTCAGTAAAAGCCTTTTCAGAGTAAAAAAAGAAAAACAGACGGTGATTTCAGTACGACTGAAATGCAGAACATGTTCAAATTCATATTTAATAAAGCAATTATTGTTTATTATTGAAGTACCAATTGATTATTAAAAACACATTTATTGAGGCTGGACCACAAGGTAACAGATATGTACCTCTGGCATAGTTGTGAAACCTCAGTAAATAGCGATTATTAGAAACAGATTTATTGAGGCCTAACGATACCCTAAGATGTGTATCAGTTACAGAGCTCTTAAAACCCGATCAGTATGTTCTTAAGCCATTTTTACTGAGGGTTTATAGCTCAGCAGTAGGGCTGCACGTCTTCATTTAGGGTTGTTAAGCCACACGGAATATCATCTTAACGCTCATGTGATACTTAATTAAGGTAGTGTTTGCAGGGAAAAGACTACAGCGACCAACAAGAACCAGGAAAAACACAACCACTTTCCTGCTTCCAAAAACATGGATCAGAGCTACTATTTGACCTGTTGGTGTATCTTTTCATTAATTTCTGAACCTCTCTTTTGGTGGAGCATGTGGACCACGGGACCAGTTCTAGCAGGAGGTGTCCCTGCCCATGGCAGGGGGGTTGGAACTTGATGATGATCTTTAAGGTCCCTTCCAACCTGAACCATTCTATGATCTGAGGACAGGACCATGCAACACACAGAGTTGCATCCATCCTGGTGCCAGATGCCATGAGCAGAGCGTGTCCTCCTGCCCTCAGCCACGTGGCTTCAACCAGAGCGTGTCCTCCTGCCCTCAGCAACACAGCTCCAACCAGAGCGTGTCCTCCTGCCCTCAGCAACACAGCTTCAACCGGAGCGTGTCTCTTGCACTCAACCAGCCCTGGTGCTCCCCGAGGGCTTTCACTGAGTCTCTGTGTCAGCGCTTTCATGGTAAATTGACTGTAATCAAACCTGCAATGACACTAAAATTGGACAGAGACCAAATACTGCCTGGAGGAGCGAGCATGGCAGCGTGGCGAGACCAGTGCTGGCCACAGACCATGAGCACAGAAGGCAGAGGGTACCCCAAATGTGCAGTCCCTATTCCTTGCTTATTCCCAGAGAACAAATCCCCTCCCATCACTCCCTTCTTAAATCACAGAATTGTCAGAGTTGGAAGGGACCTCTAGAGATCATCCAGTCCAACTGCCCTGCCAAAGCAGGGCTGCCCAGAGCACATCACTCAGGAGCATCCAGGTGGATCGTGAAGATCTGCAGAGAAGGGGACTCCACATCCTCCCTGGGCAGCCTCTGCCAGGGCTCTGCCATCCTCACCCCAAAGAAGTTCTTCCTCAGATTAGAGTGGAACTTCCCATGTTCCAGCTTGTGCCCGTTGCCCCTCGTCCTCTCACTGGGAACCACTGAAAGAGTCCGGCTCCAACATCCTTCAACCCCGCCTTGAGATACTTGTAAACGTAGATAAGGTCTCCCCTCAGCCTTCTCTTCTCCAGGCTAAAGAGTCCCAGCTCTCTCAGCCTTTCCTCATCAGGGAGATGTTCCAGTCCCTCCATCATCTTAGTTGCCCTACACTGGACTCTCTCCAGTAGTTCCCTGTCTCTCTTGAACTGGGGAGCCCAGAACTCTAAATGCTTAGACACTTGCCCGGCAAAGCCACCCTTCCACCTGCTTCTGCTGCCAGACCTGACGTCTCCATCCCACACACACAGGGGGTACCAGACTACGGCAGAGCCACTGGAGGCTCCTCAGCACCGAGCCAGCCTTTCCCATGGCTGGGGATGAATAGAGGAGACCATCTCCCCAGAGACAGCAGAACAAAGAGGCAGTGTGGAAACTGCAGCCGGAGTGAAGGCAGCGATTTTGCCCAGATCATGCAGAACGGCTGGGGCAAATCCCGGGGGAGAAGAGAGGTTCTGCTCCTTTTCTTTCGTCGTGCCTTCAGACCTCCCGGCCTCCCCACCGGAGGAGGAGGGGAGAAAGGAGCCCAGATTACCAAAGAACTCCCTTAGCTCCAGTCTCCTCTGTTCAAATTTATATATTCCACTACAGGTGACATCATGATTGCTGGAGTCTGACAGGTGATGCTGTAAAATGCATGAAACCATAAAAATTTCAACAGCAGCAAGCTCCATTGCCGCTACATCTGACAGCACTTAGCTGCCCAGCTAACACAAATATTATAAAAGCACTCGGGAAAGAAATCCAACCTGCCTGACCTCAGTTTTGGACTAATAAACAGTACAGCATGACCAGATTTCACCCACATATAATAAACAGACAGCTTTTAAAGAAACCAAAGCGGGGTGTCGGGAGGGGTAAAGGACTAAGGGGAAGAGATGAGTCAAAAGTGGGCAAAGTCACTGCTGAACGCAGAGGGCTGGGCTCCCTGCTTTCTGCCACTCCGTCTCCCTGCCAGGAGGGGATCTGTCTTAGGAACTGCATAACTACACCTGCAAAACGATGCTGGCTGGTGTGACACAGCCAGAGCAGGGCGGGTAATTGCCTAAATCATGTCAGAGCACTCAGTGTTCATCTCTACCCTCTCCACAGGGAAAGAGTGAGTAATCTTGTCTCCAAAAGTTGGACAGTAAGTGAATCCAAAAGAATCATTGCCCTTTCTTTCACCGCCCTCCGCACTAAATTTTAAAAGGCCAAGGATCTGCTTTGTATTGCTTTCTGCTGCGAGGTCCCCCTGGTCTCCCCAGAGGGAGGAGAGCACCTTGTGTCAGCTCTGTGCAAGGCTCTCTCTGAAGGACGACATCCACATGGGAAACAGCTTCCCAAAACCACCGAGGTGAGTCAGGAGGGGCTGACAGCTCCAGCCAGGGCAGGGATCTTCAAATCAGACACACTGAAATGGACCTTCAGCTTCTCCATGGTTTCCCTGGGCTATTTTGGGACTAGCTGGATGGGTAGAAGAAGCTCATCACCTTCCAACTGGCTACCCCAAAAGCCTTCCGGGCAGAAGCTGGGAATCAATGCTGGCTGTTGTTAGTCACCTCTCAGAGACCCTCTGGATAACCCACAGGGTCCAGTCTCCATCCTGTGCACCAGCACTCCCAGTATAGCTCAGCCCGGGGACTGTCCCAGCACCCAGTAAAGAAACGTGTCCCCAACTCACTTGGCATCTGGGCCAGAATGCGCACCTGGAATCTGATTTGCTGTTAGACCTATTGAGTCTATTGAGACAGGCAAGCAACAGAAGTTACTATAAATACATATAGAGCTGCATTAAATCCCCCTTTATTCCAGCAACTGAAGAGCTGGCTGTGAGCTCTGTCACTCTTGGGATGGGAATACAGGAGGGGGGGCGAGCGGAGCTGCAGCATCGATGAAGCCACCCCACTCTGGACCAGTGTTACCAGGCAAAACAAACACCAGCATCAAAATCACATGATTAGCCCCCACAGCTACAGTAATTAGCAACGATGGTCAGCCTATTAAGTACAGCTTTAGATAGTAAAGATAGAGGCATTTAAATGTCATTTTTTTTTCAACCAAAGAGAAACCGCTATTGCAAAATTCTATACAGTATTTTTAATCACAGGGTTTTTACCAAGCACTTCAGTGGAAAGTGTGTGATCGTTTTTTCACAAAATCCTCACTCTTTTTCCACCATTACAGATCTCCTTTTTCAACTGAACTGACTAGCGACAGATCCAGCAGATTTTTCAAACAATTTTTAGTTACTGAAAAAAAATCCACATAATGAAAAAAATGAGAAGTGCGTTCACTGGGCCGAGTTCAAATCTTTTTCACATAAATGGTTCCCTATTTTGCAGGCAGATTTATCAGAATTGACATCAGCTGACGGAGATGTGATGGCTACAGGCAGTGATTAAAAGCACCTGATGCAAACCAATACAGGACAGCAATTCCTCAGCGAGGAACATCAGCCCTCACCGTACTGGGGGACCAGGACAAACTGCTACCAAGTTAGGATTTCACCTTTCCTGCTCCAGTTCTTGTAGGCCTCCAGTTCACCAGCCAGATCCAGCTACAAAACCCCCAAATGACATGTTTTTACAAATACAAGCAGACATTGAGATGATTTAAGCGTGGTCTTTGCAGTCACCTTCACGCAGAGCCAGAAAGATATTTAGGCACCTAATTTCAGCCAAAATAAAGCGGATGTCCTGATGCCCATGGGACGTTTCCTGCCTAACCCCTCCCCTGGATCACACCCCACACCTCCCTGCTGCTTCCCCACTGCAAAATGTGGTGGAAATCACTAACGGGACTTCCCAGAGTCGTATCACTTCCAGCTTGGGTTGCGCAAGGGCTCAGCTACTCTAATTAAAACAAAGTCGTTACCAGGAAATGAGCTCTCCCCGACTAGCAGAGGAGAGCAGCTCCAGATTAAGCCCTCCCATCTCCTGCTGCTACCAACCTCTCTGGATAATTCCCTGATGGAGAGACACCAGCCTGAAGGAGCAGGAGCCAGCCATCCCAGGCTCCCTACGGATGGTGCGGAGCTGCAGGAATCCCAGTTAATTCCTATCAAACCAGGAGATGGCACTCCACAACATGCAGAATAACGCCTGGACTTTGCATGCCCCTCAAAATCCTCCTTTTTGTGCCCGGCAAGCGGTTTCTTCCACCCATTGGTGTCTCCAGGAGTTATGTGTGGGTACCAGGTCCCCAGGGAGGTGACACCCAGCAGCCACCAGCCGCTGGCTGCCCTACACCTGCAGCCCTCCTCAGGCACCACCTGGCTCCCAGGTTTGCAACCTCAGGGTCTCTTTTAACACAATCCCCCTTCTTTTTTATGGAATAGGCAAAAAAAAAGAAAAAAAAAAAAAAGAAGTCGTAATAATAACTGATCATAAAAAATCAAAATCGTTTACCTTTCAGGAGGCAACTCAGCGCAGGCTATTACAGGGTAATTTGGTACATCATAAAGTTTCCTATTAGAACAGAAAATAGGGCTGCTTGCATGAGCTGCCAATTGGAAATAAAATAGCGGTGGGGTCGTGATCATTAGCAGCGCTTTTTCTATTAGGTTTGCTTTCCATCGGGGGTGGGAAGAGGAGGGAGATCGAGATGCAGGTGAAAGCAGATGAGAGGGGTCTGGAAGGTGGGAGAGACGAACAGAAGGCGGCTCTTGATGTTTCTGAAGGGCCTCTTCTTGCACCTACTGCACTGACAGTGGAGAACCCACAGAGTGGGGATGCAGGATGAGCCCCTGGACCACAGTGGGGTGTCCAGTCTCCCCAGGTACACAACACCCCAGCTCAGAAGAGTGGCAGCTCGTTTGTGGTACGTGGGAATGAAGCATATGTTTTGTAATAAAAAACCAAAAAAAATACTGAAATTGAGATTAAAAAGTGCAGAATGGGAGCAAGCTGGTCTGTTACTGGGACCAGGCGCTGTTGTAAATAAAGGCCCCAAGGTGCTGGCATGCACAGGCATTTCTCAGCACGTTTCCCCATGCTGTTGGCAATCTCTGATCCTGTGCCTCTTCTGCTTCTCCAGTTACCAGTTACACGGGAGTGCACGCAGAGCACCCAGCAAAGCCCAGTCTCCTGCCAGATGGGTTAACAACCACCAGAAACAACGTCCCTGGGCTGGTCTGAGCGTGGCACAGCGGAACACAGCCCCACACCACACCGGGGAGGGCTGTGGCCAAGAGCACAGAGCAGTGGCAGAGGCAGGAATGATGTCTGGGCTCTTGAGTACTCCCCTGGGACACCCTGAGCTGTCCTAAAGAGACCACGCCAGTCCATAGGGACAGCGGCACAGAAGGAAGACTGAAGCATTTTGCTTCAGGAAAGCAGCACAAACGATGGTTTTATTTCCATGAAGGTGGGAAAAAGGCCTCTTCCCTCTGTCAGGAGGTTCATTACGCCCATGCTCACGCTGTCCATGTGCTTCCCCAGGCAACTCCCTGGTGAGATGGAGGGATCTGCTCAGCTCCATGCTGTGGCACAGCGATGGATCCCCATCACAGAAACCACAGACACCATGAAGGAAACTGGTCCATGGAGATCAGAGGGCATCAGGTTAGAGTTTGGGGCACAGGGGCCAGGACGGGCCATGGAGCCCAGATCACGCATCAAGAGTAAGCAATAACAACATGATCTGTCAGTTAATAATCATCCCACGGTTCCCATAAAACCCCTCACACCCTCTCAAGAGCTCTGTCCTATTGGATTATTCCTTGCCATTCATTAAGACAAATTGTTCCTGCACCACAGTTGGAAAGTCACTGAAATCAGCAGCGCTGTCTCCATCTCGTGGGGAACTGAAACCTGGCCAAGGTGGTGTCACCATGCACCTAACAGATCTGCGGTTTCCCTACCTCCCCTCTTCTTCCCTGGGCTTTGGGGTGGTTTGTCCCGCTTCTTCAACGGTGGTTGAGTCCCCATCCCTGGATGTGTTTAAGGGACGTTTAGATGCGGTACTGAGGGATATGGTGTAGGGGAGGACTTTGTAGAGTAGGGTAGATGGTTGGACTCAATGATCCCAAGGGTCTCTTCCAACCTCAATGATTCTATGACTCTATGATTCTATGATTCCCTTGGATTTTGGGTGGTCTGTCCCGCTTCTTCCCTTGGATTTTGGGTGGTTTGTCCCGCTTCTTCCCTTGGATTTTGGGTGGTTTGCATGGGAATCTGCATGGTACTCATGGAGTACTCATGGTACTCAAGGAGCTGCTGGTTGACTTGGCTTTCATTTGCCTTCACCTCTTAATGGAAAATAAGCAAAAGTTGGGTTCCTTGCCAAGGCATATTGTGTCTCATGTGGTCATCGCCCCCTCCAGCCCCAGCACGCTGCAATCTGGCTCCTTGCAGGGGCATCATCCCAACACTTGGAACTGCTCAGACATGGGAAACACAAGCCCAGCTCACCCCCAGACACACACTTTCCAGCAAGCAAACCACCATGAAAACAAGCAAGCAGCATGGCAAGATTTTTGGCAACTTGCTGGCAGAGTAACGTGCAGATTCATTGACAAGGACTTCTGCTGCTCCGGCCAGGACATGTGAGAATCCTCCCCCTGCCAACGTGGCCCAAGGCTGCGAAGCCCCAGGTTCCCATCATAAGTTTATTTCTTTTGCTTATTTCTAGGAGCGATAGAAGGGACATTAATATTAAAGATACTACTCCACAAGCAACATGATAAAGCTGAAGCTTGCCCAGCACTTGCAATTGCAGTTAAGCTTATGAAGTTTGTTTTGTTTAAAGTTTTCTGTGCCAAGCTTCTACCTCAGGCTGGCATCCTGGAAAACTTTTCACTGGGACAGTTCAGTTGTCTCAGTTCTTCCATAACTAATCCAGCCCAAAAATGGTTGTTTCTTGGGTTTATTTGAGCAACAATCAGAAAAATCTCTGTCAGCCATGTAGCTCTTGATCCTCTTTGTAACGATTCGCCTAAATTTTGGTTTGGGAAAACTTGGCTTGCCCATGCTCAGTGGAGATTAGTGCTTTCTTGTAATACACAGAGAAGATGTGGACCTGTTGAACGGATCCAGCGGAGGGCCACAAAGATGGTCAGAGGGCTGGAGCACCTCTGCTGTGAAGACAGGCTGAGACAGGCTTGTTCAGCCTGGAGAAGAGAAGGCTCCAGGGTGACCTTATAGCCCCTTGCAGTATCTGAAGGGAGCTACAGGAGAGCTGGGGAGGGACTCTTTGTCAGGGAGTGCAGTGACAGGACAAGGGGGAACGGTTTTAAATTGGAAGAGGGGAGATTTAGATGAGATACCAAAAAGAAATTCTTTGCTGTGAGGGTGGTGAGGCACTGGAACAGGTTGCCCAGAGAAGCTGTGGTTGCCCCATCCCTGGAGGGGTTCAAGGCCAGGTTGGAGGGGGCTTGGAGCAACGTGGTCTGGTGGGAGGTGTCCCTGCCCAGGGCATGGGGGTTGGAACTCGATGATCTTTAAGGTCCCTTCCAACTCTAACCATTCTGTGATTCTGTGATCATATCTGCTCTCCTTGGCCTTTGCAAACCCCGTGAGATGATCACAAGAGCAACGCACTGGGAAGCATTAGGGAAAACTGCTCGTCCTGAGGCCACCGCGGCCAAAGCCTGGGCTGATGTGCTCCTCCTGCAGACACACCCCCCCAGCTCTGCTCCCCCGAAGCGGATCCATCCCCAGATACCCACTGGAGGTGACACTCAGACGGGCCGATCTGCTGATACCGAAGGTCAGGGCCGAGGTTGAGCGCCGAGGTGCGTGTTTGATTAAAGCGGGTGGGTGAGGGTTTTTCAGGGATCTGCCGGGGATGGAAGTGAAAGGTTTATGGAGTGCTGGCGGGGGCTCCTGACAGCGCTGGAGACGATGTGGATTTGGCACGGGCTGCAGCGGCGGTTCTTCCCTCGCCATCTCGTTTCCAAGCTCCAAAGGCCTTGGGGTGACGGATGAAACCCGGCTCCGCGATGGTTTTGGGTTTTATGTCCCGTTTTATCACAACAAGCCTTGAATCTTGTGCCACGCAAAGGGCCGTTCACATTTCTGCTCAACATTTTCCTAAAGGATTTTCCTACCCATCAATTCACCCCTACCCTCATGGATTTGATAACCCAAAACAGAGTTACTAACCAACAACAGGTGCTCCACGATGCAACTTTCAGTCATAGTCATCTTTTATGCCCAGGACTCATTCCTTAAACCTTTCCTTTTCCTTCTCTCTTGCTTCGATCGTGGCTTCTCTTATTAATTAAATGGCAAGTTTCAATAGCCTAAGATTGAATTATAAGGCTTGTTTAGAGCAAACAGAATGATCAGAGCTAAGGGTGGAAGCTATATATGTAATATATACATATACTTAAGATACAGAACTTTGCTTCCAGACGTTTGGAACAAATTAAATAGAGGATCAAATTAACTAGTGATTGAATTAAGTGGAAAGCATCTCATTACCTAAAAGACGGAAACATGTGTCATTTTAAAACGGCTAAAAATAAAGCAAGAATGGGTCGAAATGAAAAGCAGGAACCTTGCAAATGTCAGCCAAATTTGGGCTCTGTTGAGCCCTCCAAATGTAAAGGCTGTAAATAAGGTGGGTTTTGCTGCATAGCGGGAGCTGCTGGGGAATGATGGGCTTGGAAAACAGATGTTGCAGAAAGGAGCTGCTGCACATCCCATTCCATACGTTTGCAATCACAGAGATGTGAGCAGGGCGAGAGGGGTCTTACCCGCGGACCACAGCTTAGCAGGAAGAGCTGGGATGCCCGGGACATCACCCTCACCCCCAGGACAAGCACCCTCACCCCAAGAGATCCACATACTGGGCTGTGGATCTCCTGCTCAGTTGAAAATCCAGCGCAACTCCACTTACTCTGTCAACCAGATGAACAGCTCACTCTCAGTGACTTCAATTTGCTCTTGCTGCTCACTGCCCAGAGAGTTATTCAGCCAGATTGCACTCCAAGTATTTCACAAAGAGGACCAAACCTATGTCTATGCTCCAAGTATTTCACAAAGAGGACCAAACCTGGTTATACAAACGTATGTCTTTAACCCAAGATTAAGACATCTTGCTGCTGTTGCATCACCACCTTTATTCAAAGGCTCGCTCTTCTGTTTTCCGGACACTTAATTTCCCTTGAAATAGATGGGAAAACCAGAGAGAGCTCCCAGATCTAGGCTTTTGTTTCACCACGAAAGAACCAAGATCATTTCACATGTTTCTCCCCTCCTGTGATATCGATGCTCATCTTCCTTCCTGCTCATCTGGACCTTACAAATTCCAGTCACTTCTCTTCCTGACACAACATTTCACTTAGCGATGCATCAGATGGAAATTGTACTGAGCTGCCACGGAGCGCAGGAAATCAGTTTTTCACTCCACCAAACCCCAGCCCCAAATTCAGGATGAGAAACGAGGCCTTAGCCCTTTCCTATCTAACGCTGTATTTTTTCCTTTTGTTCCTTTATATATCACATTTTGACAAATGCAAGTGGAACTTTTCCAAGATAAATAACGTTATCTTTGCAGAACCCTACGGCACCCCATGGTAACTCATTATTTTTCAATTAAATTTACTGTTCATTGGCAGTTGCTCTGCTTTAATTTTCTGCCATTTGTTTACTGAAGAACGAAATGCATAACACAAAGCCCTATAAAAGTCAGACTAAGTTAATTAAATGTGAAACTGGGAAACCCTAACTTTGCCTCCAGAGCAATTTTATCATGACATCTCCTTAAAAATGTCACTTTTTGCAGGAATTTATTTAGACATATGCAACCACTATTAATTAAATGTGCGGTCCCTTCACAACTCTCTCCAAAAGACACTTAGTGGTATTTTGTAACCACTGATTGTAGGAACCAGAGTTCACGAGATTCACAAAGCCAGATGAAGAAAAGATTTTTCAGTCAGACCAATATTTTTAGACTCTTTACATGTTTCTGGGTTATTTCAGCTGAATGCAGGATACCTAAGTACCAGTTTGGAAGCAATGCACCGTATTATTTTCCTTCTATTGTCAAGAAGACCTGATTTCATTCCTTGGTAGGACCACGGGTTTGATGGATTGCAAAGCTGTCAGGTATGTAGGCTTTCATCAGCGTTTTACATACAAACAAAAATACTCAGATTAGGGTCAGCCAGTAGCTGCACCCTGTGCATCACATGGATCCAGAAATGACCACACAATAGACATCAAAAATTAATCAAGACACAAACCTTGGCTGATGACATTCCTAGACAATTTTTAAGCAACAGTATTCAATATTTGATTGTCCCTCTCCATCTGAGCTAGACAGCCCAGATAAATCACACCTTACAAGTACCTACTTCTCTGCAGGGGTGACAGAGACCTTGATATCTCCTCAGATATGGATGTCTACACTGCAAATCATTCTATCTGTTCAGGTGAAGTCCGTCCTCACAGTCTCAGAGTGGGGTGTCTACCACAAACCCACTACCCAGACACCCCTTTCCACCATGGAAACATGCACCTTCATCCAACCCTAAGAGAGGTGTGTAAAATAGGAGAGATGACTCATCGCTTGGAACTGCCAGTTTCCCACCACTGATCATAGCAACAGCCTATATAATTTCCTTAGGTAAGTCACCAAATTTTAGGTTGAAAGCTGGAGGCAACTTATTCCAATCTAAGAGTAGAATTTGACAGAATTTGACATGTCAGAAATAGCTTTCCAGTGCGAAAAGATTCCCAGCTTGGAATTTGAAACTCCAGATTTATTTCTAAAACCATCAATCGTTCTGACGAGGAAAGGGAAAGAGCAATCTTTTCTGAGAGGCACAAATTAGAAACAACATGAATAATTAACAGAGGACTATGAAAGCTGGATAAAAGTCTCCTTCTAGATACCCAAAACTAGTCTGAACAAAGCTGAAGCCAAGACCTCGATATTTTGTTGGGACAAATTAACCTCAAAAGGGAGACGTACCCATTGCGCCTCTAAAGGTTTGGCCCAGGTTCTTACCGCAGGAATTAGCAACCCAAACTCCAGCTCTGTGGGGAGAAGGTTTGTCCCAGTTGGAGTCACACATAGAGGTCTGGCCAGAGCAGATCGCAGGCATCGGAGCGTGCGCTTGATCTCTCTGCTACTGATCTCCAGGGAGGCAGAGAGCGGTGCCTGAGGCGGCAGCACCTTGGGGCAGGTGCCGGTGAAAGGCGGTGTGACGGTGTTGAGGTGAGCTTTACATCTTGGGCAAGGTGAGAGAAGCACAGTGTCAGCAGCTAATAAGTTTATAACGGGGTTTCTTCCTCAAGCCAAATTCAGCCCAGATTTATAACTCCCCCATACCACTCTGAACTTTCCGACACTCCTCCTGAAACATTTCATTATTGCTCAATTACTGTCATGTTCTCTTAAAGACCTAGAGGGGGGGAGAAGGTCTCCATTTGGAGACCAGATGCCATTTCCATAGATACTCACAAAACTGTGCTGCGCAATAAATAATCCATTCACCCTTCAGAAACAGGCTTTGAGGATATGATAAGTTAAAAAAAAAAAAAAAGTGAAAACTGTGACATGTTGAGGATATGATAAGTTAAAAAAAAAAAAAGTTAAAACTGTGACATATTCTATGTGTAATGGAAACTAAGCAGAAACTAAGATGTTAAATTGGTGGCAGGGCACCTTTGGCTTGCAGCGGGGCCAGACTGTCTGTCTGTCTGACTTGGAGGTAACAGAAGTAGAAATTCTCCCCCAGCCTCAGCGTTGAACTGGTGCTGGTCACACTGAGAGACACCAAACATCAGGGCTGTCAACCCACCAGCAGCAGACATGCCCAAAAAGTAAGCCTACAACAGCAATTAGCAGCAGCTCGTTCCAGGCACTCATGGTGGGCTGGTCCCAGAATGGGAATGATGCTCCAGGCAGGAGATTAATGGGGAGAGCACAAACCTGAGCCCACTCACCAGGACACACCAGCTACTCACAAGCAGGCAGCTCTGGAGATTGAGAAACCAAGTATTTACAGACTGTCCATGAGGTCTGGGTAGACTGGACTTCAGGCGTTACAGCCCACCACAGCACTAGATGTCTTAAATTCCACGTTCCTCACCAGAAGACACAGGGTCCATAGATCCTACTGGGCTTAAAGCCCCTCCTTGAGCTAGGTCTCTGCCTTTGGATCTGTGAATCGACTGACGGCTCTCATGCATTCACCGGACAGACACTTCCACAGCACATTATCATCCAAAACGCTCTTTCTGCTTTGATACTTGTAACAAGTCTCTGTTTGTACATATGGAAACCACATTATACATTCCAGATGGAAATTCATACTCTATTTCAGAGAAGGAAACGAGAGCTATTTCATACTAGATGCATAATTTGTTGTGTGAATATGAAATACGTGACTGCCTCACATGCTATGTTGTGAGCTAATCATAAAAAAATATAATGAAAAAGGTCCCATCTGTCTCTAAATCCTATAATCCAACTGTTCTCAGCTAACTCCAGCTCTGCCAGTACCTGGTACACACACTGCAAGGAGAGCGTTCTGTGCCAGGGAAATACCAAAAACCAGAAGAACATGCACAAAGCAGCAGCTGAAGTTTCATTCGAGGCTGTAAGAAAATGTCTTGGAGAGAATAGAGACCTTATGACACCTCTTCAGCTGACTGAAGTCATCCCCCAACTCTTCAAATTGTTCTTGACCTGCCTTTTTAGCCAGGCTACCCTATAATTACCTTCTTAACATAATTTCCCCGCAGTTCCCTGAAGAGCCTTAATGGGATCACTGGGAAAGATCCAGCCTCCCATTAGAAAGTGTGGGGGCAAAGTGCTGTCCCCAAAAGATGATGGGAATTTTGCTACTCACATCAGCAAGGCTACGATGTCAAAACAGAGCTATCAGGCTGTAGAAGTACCTCTGCCACGCTACGCAAAGTGCTGTCCCCAAAAGATGATGGGAATTTTGCTACTCAAGTCAGCGAGGCTACGATGTCAAAACGGAGCTATCAGGCTGTAGAAGCACCTCTGCCACATCAGGAGATCATTGCAAGTAGGTGGGTCTGACATGCTCTGCCTCTTCTGCCCTGGGCTCATTTATCTGCAACCAAATTCCTGAGCCTGACCTTAACAATAGTTCTACTGCAACAGTTCTACTGTGATAGCACCAAAGGAGCTTCTCCCCTGGCATCTAAGGGACCATCCATGGAGAATTACTCCCCAGGAAACATCAATGTTTGCCTGCTCCTTGTACTTAGCTTTCAGTGTTACCGCAACTGCTTCAGCTTGCTCACCTCAAAAAATAAAATAGATATGAAACAGCAGCAGGAGGTGTTCCAAGTTCCCAGGACGTTTAGGACTTTTTCATCTAAAGGCACCAAGAAGAAGCCCCAACTCTCAGGTGGCAGCTCACTGCAATTTTTCATGCTTTCAGCCTTCCATATTAAAAATCTCAGTTTGTTAGGTGGTTTCGGGTCTGGTTTGGACCTAACGACAGGCAAGGGACATAAACAGGATGGCTATAGGCTTTCCTATACGTAATGTCTATCACATGGTAATAGACATTGCCTGGTGTTAGGAAGGACCTTCTGACAAATACAGTGGTTTCCACTCCTCTCCATTAACTACATCCCTTCTCCTGCCTATGGGGACAATTGCTACCCCTTTGTCACCTTCTGCCCCATTGCAGATGCTGTGCCACACGGCTGTGCTCCACCAGTCATGGAGGATTTCCATCCCTCTTGGTGCTGGATGGGGACAGTGGCAAGGTGAAGGAGATCTGTCACTGGGAAGGATGGTGGCACTCCAGAGCTGCATCACTGGATCTCCATGCCCGGGACCCATGGATTTCAATGCCAGATGGTGCAGCTCACTTTAAAGGGCTCTTTTTTAACCTCAAAGAAACTATTTTCAAACAAGAGCCCTTTTATTGCTGTGCCAGTTTCAAGCCATGCTGAAGCTCTTAAACATCTGGGCCTGGGCCGTTGCCTTTTAAATTTAACCGGTCCATCAGCAATTGCATTCCAGTAGTATGAGTTGTGTCTGTCTCTCCCCAGGCCTGCACTCCATTTCCCCTCCAAAATAGCCCTTATTTACCATCACCCCCTCACGTCTTCTCTTTTCCTATCTTGCACGTGAAGTCTGGCAGAGATGGGGTGGCAGAGGCTCCCTCCCCTGAGGGCTCCTCCTCAGACCGAGGAAACACGCGGAGGGCATTAGCAGGAAATTTGTTAAATATGGCTCTCGGGGGAACACAGGAAGCAGATCTTGTTATTTAGGTGGGCAAAACAAACATGGCCAAAAAAAAAAAGGAAAGAAAAAGTGCCATAACGACTCCAGCAATCCTCTGCAGCCCTCACCAAATGAACCAGAATGGAAAATTCTTTCTTCACCCCAGGTTTGGAGACCGAGTGCAAGAGGCAGGCGTCCCAAAGAACACGATGCCACCAGAAGGTCTGAAGTGAGCTGCTTTCCCTCTGCCCTGCTGCAGGCTCCAGGGCTACAGAGACCTGGAAGAGCTACACACCAAGGGAGAAAGCCATTCCTTCCTGATCTCAAAGGTAAACAGAAGCAGCCAGGGAACACCGAATTTACATAAATATTATACAAATATTTCTATAAATAAATACAAATACAGAGAGATCTGACCTCTTTTCAAACCCACCGAAGATATCAACAGATTAGGAATGCCTTTCATTCCCTAGGAACTCTGCTGCTTTTTCATACAGCCCCTTCTGTAGATTTATCAGACTTCATCTTAAAACAATCCCTCAAACCAATCAGCCCTTTTAATCACAGTAATTTACTAGAATTCCTACTGACAGGGATGCCCACAATATTTCTCAGGTTCTTTCCAATTTCCATGTCTCCAAGCTGTAGAACCAGATTGTCCCCACCAAGCAGCAGGCAGTGCCCTCATCTTTGTCTTCATCCAGAGAGGGAGGCAAGGCAGGTACCAAAGCAGTGAGACCACTGAAATCCAGATCATCCTCTGGTCATTCCCCTCTCTCTCCACTGTTGAGGGTGATGACATTCTACCTTAGATGCCACAGTTAAGTCCCCAAGTTAATTGGGATGAATCTTTGCCTTCCTACAAGTTTAACCCACTTACAAGATTACACAAAAGCGGTTACCTAGATTAGGATTATTTTGCTGTCTTGGATCCATTTAACTAAGCAATGCAGATCACCGTAACCTAACGTCCTTGGGACCTAACGTCCTTGAAAAATCCTTGGGATTTTTCACCCCATCATCTTCCTCCAACCTGTATTTCACCACCACTTACACCACCCCTTTAGAGGGTTCCAAATTAACAGTTACTTCAAGGCTTGGTTCAGAGCCTACTGCAGTCAATTAGAGACTTCGGTACACTTCAACAGGTTTTAGATCTGATCCTTTAGAACTCTTTTTAGTTACAAAAGATGTAAATGTCACACAGTAACAAATTAAAAATTACCCTGTAAATGTCTTGGCCAAGCAGACCACATGGACATGTTTCTGACAGGATCCGTCTTCCATCATACCAGTGACTGACACCCATGAATTTTGCCATCCCTGTTGAGAAAAAAAGCAAATTAGCAATGATGTTAATTCCCACCTCTCACAGCCCCCAGGGACCTCTCCAAGCCCATTGCTTCATGTTCCTTGTGCTTCCTCACCTGGAAATCTCCCCATATTGGGATGTGTCTCCTTACAACCGACAACAAAAATGGTGTAAGAAAATACCCAGAACAACATGTAACATGGAAAGGAAGGGGAAGGGGGTGGTGGGGAAGGTGCAGGACTGGCCTAATGTGTCACACACCTTTGGGAAACCGGTCAGATCTGGTCTTCAGCTTGCTTTGGTTCAGTTTTTGAGATCCACATGAGGACAGCTGCTGCCGCCTTTGTGTTTTCCAAATTTCACCCCAATTGCACCAGTGCTCAGCTGGAGCCTTGGCTGATTTCACCAACAAAATGAAAGCAGCAACAGCAGCATTTGCCCAGGTGGGCTTTAGTTCTGGCTCTGTCACCTTTTCTCTTGACTTTATTGTAAATCCCTCCTGGATGCTTTTTAACCCGAGAGGCAGGGAGAAGGAAGAATCCCTCCAGCTAAAGGACCTGGGTTAAAACAAAGCATCTCTCTCATTCAAGGGCAGCTGTTTGCCTTGGGAAGCAAAACACTGACTTTTACAAACAGCAGACAACGTCCTGGGGATTTTGGGGGACTGCTGCAATGTTTTCTAGCTAGATAGTAAACAGCCAGGTAACCACTGATATCGCCTTGATGCAGGGACTGAGGTTTCCCCCCTTCTCCCTGAGGACCAAAAGCCAAGATCCTACTAGAGAAACAAATGATTTATCATAGCAGGGATGTCTCATTAAGATTTATTACAAACCCCTGCGATAGCCCAGGAAAACTGCTTCCAGGAGTCATCCAATATAGCAGAATTAACACGACAGCCCCTCAGATGGAACCACGCTATCCAAACCCTTCACACTGACCTGCGGCCCAGAAACGCTACGACAGCCCCGGCAGCTGCCCGACATTAACAGATATCTGTAACTTTTAACAAGAATCAGGCCCGGAGCCGTTCCGAGCCCCGGCTATAAAACTGATGAACTGAGAGGAATATCGCAAAGAGAAAGAGGAAAAACACAGCATCATACCACAGCTATTTGATTGTGATTTATGTCCCATTCCACCTTGCCTTATCGCAGCTAAGCCTTTCGGGAGAAAAAAAACTACACACACTGTACAGAAACGGCTTTTGGTCCTGGATGTGCAGCTCTGCTGCCTCGTACGTCTGGAATGGGGGCTGCAGACAGTCCTGCCACACAAACCCAACACTGGCTCCCAGAAAGAGCATGTGCCACTGTTGGATGCATGGATGGCACCTGCTTGGCCACACAGCACTGCCCACACTCCCAAAGTTTTGCTATAGCCCTGAAATCATAGAATCATAGAATGGTTAGAGTTGGAAGGGACCTTAAAAGATCATCAAATTCCAACCCTCCTGCCATGGGCAGGGACACCTCCCACCACACCAGGTTGCTCCAAGTCCCATCCAGCCTGGCCTTGAACCCCTCCAGGAATGGGGCAACCACAGCTTCTCTGGGCAACCTGTTCCAGTGTCTCACCACCCTCACAGCAAAGAATTTCATCCTAATATCTAATCTAAATCTCCCCTCCAATTTAAAACCATTACCCCTCATCCTGTCACCACACTCCCTGACAAAGAATCCCTCCCCATCTCTCCTGTAGCTCCCTTCAGATATTGGAAGGCTGCTATGAGGTCTCCCTGGAGCCTTCTCTTCTCCAGGCTGAACAACCCTGTCCTCACAGCAGAGGTGCTCCATCCCTCTGAGCATCTTAGTGACCCTCTGCTGGACCTGTTCCAACAGGTTCATGTCCTTCCTGTGCTGAGGACTCCAGAGCTGGACACAGTGCTCCAGGTGGGTCTCACCAGAGCAGAGGGGTAGAATCACCTCCTGCGACCTGCTGGCCACGCTTCTCTTGATGCAGCCCAGGATGGGGTTGGCTTTCTGGGCTGCCAGTGCACAGCGCCGGCTCATGTTGAGCTTCTCATCCACCAACACCCCCAGGTTTGTGCAATAAAAACCCTGGCATCGGTTCCCTTGGGAGCATCGCTGCCTTGGCTGCACCGAGGTCTTCATCAGCAGCCACAGGCAGAATTCAGCACGCAGACAGCTGGCAGAGAGAGAAGGGGATACCTGGCACAGAGCTGATAACCACATCGTTCTGCCAGCTTTTAGAACCAGACTTTTCATTGCTTTGTTTCGAAGTGACATTTTTGTTTGCCTGTATAAAAGCCAATCATGTTTTAAAGAAAAATGGTTGAATACACAAGTCAGAAATTACCCCCAAATGAAGCAAAATGTTGGGGTAAAACGAAACAATTCAGTTGTTCTCATAGTATTTTGTTCTCCAGGACAAAAAAGGAGAGAGAAGGAACTTTTCCACTTAGTGTGATGATTTGTTCTTTACTTCATGATTTCCAAGTTGGCCAGTCTCTCCACCTATCCATATTTCCCACACCTACCCCCTAACACGTCTACTTATAGCACCAAATGGAAATGCTCTGAACTGTCCTTGAGACAGGTAACCAGCTCCCTCTCTTTAAGGAGCGCAGAGCCAGCTCTCTGCATTGCAATTAAAGTCACTTTAAAAAGGTGCCGAGCCCAGAGCAGCTACTGCCCTTCAGTGGTGAAATGACTGTTTCTGCAGCGAGCTCAGGAACAGGAGGGGAAGCTGCCCGATGTGTGAAAAGCCCCAGGACACTGTTTTGTCAGTTTGTTTTTCCCATCAGTGTGTAACGTTATCCAGCTCGCACACGGATGAACTAGAGAAGATATCCAGGTTCAAGGTGGAGCATCCAAGCTACAATGAATCTCCCCCTTGCTTTGGTCAGCTGCTCTGCTGGGTAATCACTCTGTTGCTCCACGGTTGTCCTATTTCCAGCCTAGCTTCAACTTCCATCCACTGGATCTTCCCCTATCTGTTACACATCAGAAATCTCCTCCTGAGGCAGGGAATTACTTACCAGGATCACGTTGCCTCCAAGCTTGCTTTTCAGCAAGTCAAACAGACTGAGCTCTTTCAGCCTGCCCCTCATTCCAGACCTTGGCTCACCCCATTACAGCTGAGGTATCCTCCAAGACGTATCTATGAAGAGAAGAAAAGCCACCAAGGCATTGGTAGGGTCATAAACCTCGTGCTTTGCCAATGAGCATGACCCAATGAAATTGCCCCAGTTGCAACCACAGACCTGCCAAAAATGGGGTTTGTCAGAAGGGAGGGAATCGCAGGGTCCAGAGCTCCTCAAAGGCTTTCATGAGCAGCCAGTTGCAAACATTTCCTGATGTCAATTATCCATCAACTCACAAATATCTGGCAATTTCCACTCAGTTTGTGAACTTCGAGGTCTGTTCTTTGCCATGGTGCTGTGCAACGTCTGTGAAAATTGCATGCTGTGTCTGAGGTGGTTTCACTCAAAATGGCACCTGTCCATGGGGACAGTCAACAATTCTCCAAACAACTGGCTCATTCTCTCAGCACCTGCATGGGAGGGCTCCAAGGAACGTTTTTCATCAACAAAACTCTCTCTGGGTACCATTGACAGCCAGAGCTTCCAGTCAGGGCATGCTGAGGGGAAGGACCAAGGAATGCCATTCCTTCTCGGATTCTCAGAGCCGATTCCTCCGCTGTCAAATCACCATCCAAAGAAAACACATTAAAATCAATGCCCTTAAAAATGACGAGCCCTGGAAAAAATAAAAAAAACCAACCCAAAAAAACCCCACAACACACTCTGCAAACAGAAATGGGTCAATCCAAAGCTGTTCAGGAGGCCACCTCCAGCTACCGGGCTGCCTGTCACAATACTCACCCCCAGTTTTTCCCCAGTGAAATATTGCCCACCTCGCTGGAACCAGCGGGCGGCCGCTCGTTTGCTCCAGCAGCGCTACAGGAGCGGGGAGCTGGCTGCGCCTCGCCGTATTTTTTCAGCCCAAAGAAAGTCAAATCTGTCCATCAACTCACAGAGTCGCTCGGCAGAGAGAGCATCCCCACGGGGAAGGGGCTCCGTGTCCCCCCGCGGGCTGTGCTGGTGGTCTCCTCAACCCAGCTTTGCTGTCTCAGCAGCAGCTGTAATTAAGGAGCCCAAGGAAGCAGATAAACAAGGAGCTGAACGACTTTGAGGGTGAATTTAAGGCTTGTGATAACAAAGATGGAAAAGCACTGCAGCCAGGCAGGGCACGGGGGAATACTGTCGGTTTTCATCCAGTTTGACGAAGGCAACGCAGCAGGAACCCGCTGGGTCAGCCCTGACGCCACGTCCAGCTGAAACAGAGAGCAGCCATCCTCTGCAGAGCTCCAGCCATTCCCCTGGGACTCCATCCAGCTCTGCTGACACCCCAGCCACCCCCCTGGGACAGCAGCACCAATTCTGGTCTGAACCCTCATGGAGCCATCAATAAACCCCAGTCCCAAGGGCAACCACCCAAAATACGGTCACACTCCCGAGCGCTGAACCTCACACCTCGGGCTACCTACACACCATCCACTCTACCCAAACCATCTCCCTCCTCACCCACAGCATCCTTCCAGCCAGGTCCTGGCCTTCTCGTGTGCAGGCTGCAAACTACAGTGAATCACGGATCAGGTACGTGACAGGAGGATCATTACTTCTTTAAATGGAGAGACTAAAAGAAACTGCTAAGGGAAAGGATGGATTATCCACCACATGGTCTCTTCAGACCAAGTGTGGAAGAGGTGTTTCAGTCATAAATGAGTCAGTGGGCTCAGTGGTGAGGTTAATGGACAAAATGTTACAGTCTGCTATTCAGAAGGTCAGGCTAAATCAGGCCTTAGACGTTTCCAGTGCTCATATGTCCTTATCTCTGAACAAATGGATGAGGGAATAATACAGAGTCTCTTCCAGCCACTTTACTCCGAAGTTCAATTATGGGGAAGCTGGAGAAAGTTCTTCTCCTGTGTTTGGCATGGAGGGAAGCCAGTATTGATCTCTGTATTCAACACCCCGTATCACACTGCAGTGATTTCCGGGTCTGGTTACCGGCACTGACCTTCCAGGCTCATTCCTGCTGCTGCAAAGAACAAAACAGTCCATCAAGAGCATCTTCATTCAGGAGTAAATGGCTTGAGCCCAGGATGTCCTCAAACAGCCCGGGCTGTCCTCAGAAGTCCCAGCTCGACCAAAGGAAATACTGACAGTGGAGAGAGGTTACGCTGGTGTGAGCAAATATACAGCCCGGGCTGTCCTCAGAAGTCCCAGCACGACCAAAGGAAATACTGACAGTGGAGAGAGGTTATGCTGGTGTGAGCAAATATCTCCTCCTTGAGCCAACGAGGTCCTTTGGGGCTCCCATTCTGGGCAGCAGCAGCTCCATCCGCTCTTTGTGCTCACTCCATCACCAGCAGGAGCAGTTTCTGCAGCAGAAACCAAAACCACACGATGCTGCAGCTGGTGACTTGAGAAGAATCAACATCTTCCTACACCATCTTCCGGACACTGAGAGTCCCTCTTTCAGCAACTTTTCTCTGATGTCTGTGACATAATTAGCAATAGCTCTTCCCACTGTCCTCTAATGGAAGATGGCCTCATTAATTACATTACACTGAGTCAGCTCAGCGTGCTCAGAGATAATAAAAACACTGTTAGCCCTTCTTCCAAAATAAGCAGCAAACTCACATTTTGCTGACACTTAAACAAAGATCCCACGATAAAAATACGACACCTTGTGTTTAAATATTTTCCATGATGCCTTCGACTATCTGAATCTTTAAATATTTCCTACAAGAGTCAGTTCACCCACTCCCGAACTGCCTGTACCAGACAAAACACTACGTGGTATTTTAGGAAATCCAGCAAAAATAGCAAAACATATCTCGTTAAGAGGATGGAACGACCCTGCTTAGACTTTAATGAAGCTTCAGTTATTACTACACACCTGCATCGCCCCTTAAAGCACCAAGAGTCCACCACAGCATCACCACCTTTCACAGTATGACCTCTCCTGCTCCCACCCAAGGTCGCTGGTTCCACGGAGGAACCTCCTCTGCTGGCTCATCAACTTCAGCTAAATGAATGTGGCTGTTAATATAGACTCATCTACATACTGCTCAGGATGTTAATGCCTTTCACTTACAAACCCCCCCCGTTTCCCAGTGCCCCTGCTGTACAACGCAGAACATTTACACCCTAAACACACAAGTCAGCCTGTTTAAGCACTTCACAAGACACGCTGCGCTTAACGTAGTACATCCATAGAGCCAGGTTCACCCTCTCTGACCTTAAAAATATAAAATAACACAATTTAGGAGAGTTATTCCTATGGTTGTTAGCAGAAGGCTTGAATCACCTTCCAAAGGTATTTCTTTTTCTTTGCTTATTTTCTAGGGCACCTACAGTAACTAGGGATGGGAACCATCCCATGGTAACTACTACACGGTAAGAAAGAGGCTGTAACTTCTTTAAGGGGGACAAAATGGGTATATTTGGGGAAAGAAAAAATGTTTCTACTTAGGATTTTGAAGATGTTTGGAAATGTTTAAAGTTTTCCTTCCTAAGTACATTTGTTTGAAAAAATTCTCAGCATTTAAATTTTAAAGAGAGAGTTAAATGGTTTCAGAGCGTGCAGCTGAAGCAAAATGAATCAAACTGAACATTTAGGGTAGTCTATTTATTTTGCTGAATAATCTTGCTCTTAGTGTGATCAGAAAGAAATTAAGGAACATTTTTTAGTTTAACAAACAAAAGTAAAAAAAAATCAATTATTCAGAGTTCTAGTTCTGAGCTCTTCTGAAAAATCTACCTTTTTGATATGCTTGAGATCATTTAAAGATATTAAGAAATACAGCTATGTGCACCAAATTAAAGGGAGCATCAAAATATTAGAAGCAAAATAAAGGCTTTAAAACAAATCTCCATAAAAATAAGTGAAAACATTTGACAATTATTTATATTTCCAATAAAACAGGTGATTTTTTTCAATTAAAATGGAGATATAATCTTTCTTAAAAGTAATGAAAATGCAAATACTCAGTACGAGATAAATTAGGCTGGGAAACTGCATATATACAGAAAATAGGTCATGTTGCACTGAGTGAAAGAGGGAGGGAAAAGTAGAAAATTAAAGGCAAAAGGCAAACTGAACTCAAGTTCTTATTTCTCAACAGCATCTTTTTTAAAAAACACCCTTTAAGTTTTCTCTCCAAACACTGAATCAACAAGGAAAAGGGCACTGGGATCTGACCTTCTTTTACTAATACATTGGCAGTTTTTCCTCTGGAGGGAAAAACATTTTGTAAGAGGAAAGAAAGACAAATAATTCAAACAAGATTAATAAATTTCTTGAGAGAGAGAGCTGAAAAAAGTACCACAAATCAGGACAGACTCTCTGTTTTAATTTTAGCACCTTTTTTTTTTTTTTTTTCTTTTTAAAAAGCATAAAATAATATTTGGAATACCATGGGGTGTTAGGGAAAACAGAGCTTACCCTGAGCTGCTGGGAGGAGCTCAGCCTCACTGGGCAGCTGGAGAAGGAAGCACTGGAGAAGCAGAGACGCGGTGGAGAGAAAACCCACTCTCCTCTCTCCATTCGTGTTTTCTCTCCTGTCTCAGAGGTCACTGGTTTATTTAATTAATGAAGTGGTGTCTCTGAGGACCAGGAGGCTGATCCTGCTCCCAGTTATCCCATGGTAGAAGAGTTTCAATGACATTTCCACGGTGTTGAAACCACGGTGTGTTGGTCCAAGTCATGGATTTCTGGCAGGGATGGGACCAGGCTAAAGCAGCTCATCAAGGTTTCAAGTAACCTGGAGCAAAAATATTGGGAAGAGGAAAGTAGAAGTCAAAAAAGGGCATTGCTGTCAGGTGTGTTAGATATCCCCAACCCAGGGGTCAGTCCTTGGGGAAACTCATGCCCAAGTCCCCAGCCACACACAATTTCTCCACATGAATAGGGAGAGACCTTGTGAGATCAACCCAGCAAGAGTCTGAAGGAGGTGACAGTCAAGACCTCCCTTGACTGTCTACATTAAAAATTCCCACTACACAGGAAGAACTGGACTATCCTTCAGTAACAGATTCCTTTCTGAGAGGGCTTTTGCCTCCAGCAAAGTCCATCCTGAAATGTGCCAGAAGCGAGAGCAGGAGGAGAATCAAACCTTCCAAGTTCAAGGAAAAAGATTTGTGTCCCTGACACAAAAGAGCTATTCTCTCTGAACCAGCTCAAAACTGCAAGGGACAAAGTTCCACCCTGGCCCCAGAAGAGCTAATCTTGCCCTGAGCTGGAGGTAGGATCACCCTTGCCTTGACATCCTCTTTCCCTAATCTCATTTATTTTGTACCCTTGCTCATCTCGTGCTTTAAAAACAAAAAGATCCCCAAACAACCAAAATACAGAAATTAATTCTTACTAAAATTCTTTTCATGATTACTGTGTAAATAATAATCCAGTAAAATGAGTGATACAAATCTCCTTTAATGACTCATTCACCAGATTTCTGCCCTTGCCTTTCAGTCCTCAGCATCAGTAGCGTAGTGTTTCGTCTTCTACCCATCAATTGATACTTAAATAATGCATAAAACTGTCTTATTAAATGCATGTTGAATATTTATTTGGAAGCTCATCACAAGTTGAAAGATAACCTTCATTTCCAATTCCCTTTGGGATAATCAGCTAATTGGGTATCAGCAGAAGCTCAGCCTCTTCAGTCTGCTGCTAGTCAGGGTGCGAGCCCCGTCTAACAATGCCTTCAACATGCACCGAGGGGCTTGGGTCCTCCTGCTGCTTCGTCCTACTCAGGCTAATCCACAAGATGGACATGAAAGGGAAGATAATAAAAGCAGCCACGGTCACCCGCTTCTTTTTCAGTCTTGTTTGTGCTTTTGGATCCGAGCCAGATGCAGGCAGGAAAGATCCAACAACCTCCTTGAGATAACTGCTTGCACTCAGCCCCGGCAGCCGTGGTTCTCGCATCGACTCGAGAGCTCTCTGGGACCTCCTGGCAGTGGTGCAGCAAGAGCTTGATCCTAATAACTTCATGTTAAAGCATCTTGCGATAAATTCAGTTCTTAGAATTATAGAATCATAGAATCATCCAGGTTGGAAGGGACCTTCAAGATCATCTAGTCCAACCATCAACCTAACTCTGACAAAAAAAATCACTAAACCGTTTCCCCCAGCATTGTGTCAACCCATCTTTTGAACACCTCCAGGGATGGTGCCTCAACCCCTTCCCTGGGCAGCCCATTCCAATTCCCATTCACCCTTTCCATGAAGAAATTTTTCCTAATATCCAACCTGAACCTCCTCTGGTGCAACTTGAGGCTGTTTCCTCTTGTCCCATTGCCTGTTCCTTGGGAGCAGAGACTTCGACCCCCCCTGGCTACACCCTCCTTTCAGGGAGTTGGAGAGAGCGAGGTCTCCCCTCAGCCTCCTTTTCTCCAGGCTGAACACTCCCAGTTCCTCCTCACAAGACTTGTGTTCCAGACCCCTCACCAGCTCTGCTGCCCTGCTCTGGACCCGTCCCAGCACCTCAATGTCTTTTTTGTGGTGAGGGGCCCAAAACTGGACACAGCACTTGAGGTGGGGCCTCACCAGTGCCCAGTACAGGGGGACAATCACCTCCCGAGTCCTACACCCCACACTGTTCCTGACACAGGCCAGGATGCTGGTGGCCTTCTTGGCCACCTGGGCACACTGCTGGCTCACGTTCAGCCCACAGTTGACCAACACCCCCAGGTCCTTTTTCCACCCGGCAGCTCCAGCCACTCTGCCCCAGCCTGTAGCGCTGCAGGGGGTTGGTGGGACCCAAGGGCAGGACCCAGCACTTGGCCTTATTGAACCTCATCCCATGGTCCTCGGCCCATCCAGCCAGCCTGTCCAGATCCCTCTGTACAGCCTTCCTACCCTCAAGCAGGCCGACATTCCCACCTAACTTGGTGTCATCTGTGAACTGACTGAGGGTTCTCAATCACTGAGGGCACTCAATCCCCTCATCCAGATCATTGATAAAGATATTAAAGAGAACAGGCCCCAATACTGAGCCCTGGGGGACACCACTTGTGACCGGCCACCAACTGGGGTCACCAACTGTGACCCCACCACTCTCTGGGCCCAGCCTCCAGCCAGTTTATAACCCAGTGGAGAGTCCTCCCATCCAGCTGTGGGCAGCCAGTTTCTCCAGGAGGATACTGTGGGAGACTCTGTCAAAGGACCTGTGATACAGCCTGGACCGTGTCTGACCTCGACCGGGAGAGTTGCTTCCTGCTCGACACAATCAGGTAGTTGTTAATTAAATCAGTTAAGTAATCAGAAGTTTAGGCAGAAACCAACTCTGCTTTCTGCTGAAGAATCCTCTCTCCTAAGACACACTGGCTCAGTTTTGGAGGGTGGCTCCAGTCCCCCAGCACGTAACAGCTCAACGTTGGCAGGCTGTCAGTAAAATGTTATTTATTCTGCACTGCTGATTATTTTCTTTCATTTTCTTCATAAAGAAACACAACTGTATCAATGAATTAGGGAGACCTGGTATAAAACCTGGCCTTATACCTGGTAAAAAAATACAGGTCGAATGAGAGACCAGCCCAGACACACCTCATTGCTGAGAGCATCCCATTAAACGCCCGCTGCCGGCACCGGGGCCACCACAGCCTTCGGCAGACGGGCAGCTGCCAGCGTCTGACGTGTTCTGCAGTACGAGACCTGACAAATCAGCACATGGAAGAAATTTACCCATGCCCAGAGCTCGTCAGGTCTTTGGCAGCTGCTGCAAATAGCTGCGTGGGGAGCAAACAGAAGCACTTGTGTGTAACGCTGTCTTCCAGGCTTGTCAAATTCACTTTAGGAGGAAATTCAGTCAAACAATGCTTGTACGGCAAACGCCTACTAATTTTCATACACTTGATTATTGCAAGGTAATGTTGTTTCCCTCCTCCTCCCCTTCCCATCACTGTTCAGGCTGAGGAGTGCTCCACACACAGCAGGCATCCCGCGGGACACAGGAATCGCGCTGCTTGGCATGAACCCCTTCCACCTTTGCGCTTGGGAAGCATTTTCCATCACGGTCCTTTTCTCCCCGAACACCTGCACGAGTTCCAGCTGGATACTCCTTACCTGGGATCAGCAAGGAAATGCAGAAAGAGCTCCAGAACCTCCTAATAAATACAGCCTCAGATTTTCACCAGCTCTGGGTTTCCTCCTGCGTGGAAAGCAATAGTGTGCGTGAAAATCCCAACACGTGTTCCCCAGACTTACCAAGCTGTAAAGCAGGGCATGGATTTTCTAAGAATCTAAAGCAAAGTGACAAAGTGGTTTGTGATTTAAAACTATTTGACAACCAGGCCCCGTAAGAGAGATCTAATCTGTGGCATTTTTGTCCAAATTAGGTCTAATAATGACAAATGAGAGGCTTTACACACTTCTGGAATGAGACCCGAGCAGTGTGCAGGGAGCAGCCAAAGGCTCAGCCCGCCCCGAAATCGAACCTCGTGGCTTGATGTGTGGAGGAGAAAATCAACACATAGGGTAAGTGACCACAGACACAGCCTGGAAGCAAAAAGAAGATGTGAAAGAGAGAAAAATAGGCACTTTCAGGGCTAATTTCTGCTTACTTTAGGTAGCTCCTTTAGGAGGTGAGGAACCACATGGAGGGGTGGTGTCGCCGCCGGGAGTTGGAGTCCAGTCATTCACCTGGTGGCATCTACATTTATGTAGAAGAGTCTCACCCTGGCGAATGAGAAAAGATCCTTTCAGCCCTCATGAGCTACCTCTTCCTCCACTCTCCACATTTCATTTCACAGCGGGATTCCCCCATCCCAAACCAAAAGGCCATTCCTTTGCTGATCCCCACATGCCTGGCAGAGGCAGGGCTGCCCAGCGATGAGGAGAAGGGCCCATGCAGACCCAAAGCCACTGGGACCCAAACCAGAGAGATTCACACAGAGAGAGAGGTCCTGCCTCTATCTACACAGCAGCTCTTCCCTCCTCCTCTCTCCTGGATTCCAGGGGAATCCAGCCAGCGAGATGGATAAAAGGTGCCACGGAGCCAAAGGTTCCTCACCCCCAGGTCCTTTTCCACCAGGCAGCTCCAGCCACTCTGCCCCAGCCTGTAGCGCTGCAGGGGGTTGGTGTGACCCAAGGGCAGGACCCAGCACTTGGCCTTATTGAAACTCATCCCATTGCCCTTGGCCCATCCATCCAGCCTGTCCAGATCCCTCTGTACAGCCTTCCTACCCTCAAGCAGGCCGACATTCCCACCTAACTTGGTGTTGTCTGCGAACTGACTGAGGGTTCTCAATCACTGTGGGCACTCAATCCCCTCATCCAGATCATTGATAAAGATATTAAAGAGAACAGGCCCCAATACTGAGCCCCGGGGGACACCACTTGTGACCGGCCGCCAACTGGATTTGACTCCATTCCCCACCACTCTCTGGGCCCGGCCTCCAGCCAGTTTGTAACCCAGTGGAGAGTCCTCCCATCCAGCCATGGGCAGCCAGTTTCTCCAGGAGGATACCATGGGAGACTCTATCAAAGGACCTGTGATACAGCCTGGACCGTGTCTGACCTCGACCGGCAGAGTTGTTTCCCGGTTGTCACAATCAGGTAGCTGTTAATTAAATCAGTTAAGTAATCATGCTGCAAAGGCAGAAACCAACTCTACTTTCTGCTGAAGAATCCTCTCTCCTCTTTTAAGACACACTGGCTCAGTTTCGGAGGGTGGCTCCAGTCCCCCAGCACGTAACAGCTCAACGTTGGCATGCTGTCAGTAAAATGTTATTTATTCTGCACTGCTGATTATTTTATTTTTTTTCATAAAGAAACACAACTGTATCAATGAATTAGGGAGACCTGGTATAAAACCTGGTCTTATACCTGGTAAAAAAATACAGGTCGAATGAGAGACCAGCCCAGACACACCTCATTGCTGAGAGCATCCCATTAAACGCCCGCTGCCGGCACCGGGGCCACCACAGCCTTCGGCAGACGGGCAGCTGCCAGCGTCTGACATGTTCTGCAGTACGAGACCTGACAAATCAGCACATGGAAGAAATTTACCCATGCCCAGAGCTCGTCAGGTCTCTGGCAGCTGCTGCAAATAGCTGCGTGGGGAGCAAACAGAAGCACTTGTGTGTAACGCTGTCTTCCAGGCTTGTCAAATTCACTTTAAGAGGAAATTCAGTCAAACAATGCTTGTACGGCAAACGCCTACTAATTTTCATACACTTGATTATTGCAAGGTAATGTTGTTTCCCTCCTCCTCCCCTTCCCATCACTGTTCAGGCTGAGGAGTGCTCCACACACAGCAGGCATCCCGCGGGACACAGGAATCGCGCTGCTTGGCATGAACCCCTTCCACCTTTGCGCTTGGGAAGCATTTTCCATCACGGTCCTTTTCTCCCCGAACACCTGCACGAGTTCCAGCTGGATACTCCTTACCTGGGATCAGCAAGGAAATGCAGAAAGAGCTCCAGAACCTCCTAATAAATACAGCCTCAGATTTTCACCAGCTCTGGGTTTCCTCCTGCGTGGAAAGCAATAGTGTGCGTGAAAATCCCAACACGTGTTCCCCAGACTTACCAAGCTGTAAAGCAGGGCATGGATTTTCTAAGAATCTAAAGCAAAGTGACAAAGTGGTTTGTGATTTAAAACTATTTGACAACCAGGCCCCGTAAGAGAGATCTAATCTGTGGCATTTTTGTCCAAATTAGGTCTAATAATGACAAATGAGAGGCTTTACACACTTCTGGAATGAGACCCGAGCAGTGTGCAGGGAGCAGCCAAAGGCTCAGCCCGCCCCGAAATCGAACCTCGTGGCTTGATGTGTGGAGGAGAAAATCAACACATAGGGTAAGTGACCACAGACACAGCCTGGAAGCAAAAAGAAGATGTGAAAGAGAGAAAAATAGGCACTTTCAGGGCTAATTTCTGCTTACTTTAGGTAGCTCCTTTAGGAGGTGAGGAACCACATGGAGGGGTGGTGTCGCCGCCGGGAGTTGGAGTCCAGTCATTCACCTGGTGGCATCTACATTTATGTAGAAGAGTCTCACCCTGGCGAATGAGAAAAGATCCTTTCAGCCCTCATGAGCTACCTCTTCCTCCACTCTCCGCATTTCATTTCACAGCGGGATTCCCCCATCCCAAACCAAAAGGCCATTCCTTTGCTGATCCCCACATGCCTGGCAGAGGCAGGGCTGCCCAGCGATGAGGAGAAGGGCCCACGCGGACCCAAAGCCACTGGGACCCAAACCAGAGAGATTCACACTGAGAGAGAGGTCCTGCCTCTATCTACACAGCAGCTCTTCCCTCCTCCTCTCTCCTGGATTCCAGGGGAATCCAGCCAGCGAGATGGATAAAAGGTGCCACAGAGCCAAAGGTTCCTCCTTGCCCCTCTGTATGGATGAATAAATTTCTGGGCATGTTTAGTTTGGAGGAGGCTGAGGGGAGACCTCATTGCCCTCTACAATTACCTGAAAGGAGGCTATAGAGAGGTGGGTGTTGGCCTCTTCTCCCAAGGGAATAATGACAGGACCAGAGGAAGTGGTCTGAAGTTGGGGCTGCGATGAGGAGAAGGGCCCACGCGGACCCAAAGCCACTGGGACCCAAACCAGAGAGATTCACACAAAGGGAGAGCTGCTGCCTCTATCTACACAGCAGCTCTTCCCTCCTCCTCCCCATGAGGACAGGGGAATCCAGCCAGCGAGATGGATAAAAGGTGCCACAGAGCCAAAGGTTCCTCCTTGCCCCTCTGTATGGATGAATAAATTTCTGGGCATGTTTAGTTTGGAGAAGAGGAGGCTGAGGGGAGACCTCATTGCCCTCTACAACTACCTGAAAGGAGGTAGAGAGGTGGGCGTTGGCCTCTTCTCCCAAGGGAATAATGACAGGACCAGAGGAAGTGGTCTGAAGTTGGGGCTGAAGGGGAGGTTTAGATTAGATATCAGGAAGCATTACTTGACTGAGAGAGTGGTCAGGCACTGGAACAGCCTGCCCAGGGAGGTGGTGGAGTCCCCATCCCTGGAGGTATTTAAGAAACATGTAGACGTGGCACTTCAGAACATGCTCTAGTGCTCAAGGTTGTTGGTTTGTGTCTGTTTGTGGGGGGTTTTTTTGTGGGTGTGGTTTTTTTTGGTTTTTAAGGGGTTTTTTTGTGGTTGGACTCAATGATCTCAAAGGTCCCTTCCAACCATGAAGATACTGTGATTCTGCAATAAAGGCTCTCACTGGAACCTTAAATATTTTCACAATCAACCATCCATATGTTAACTTCCGACGCACGCAGGCGACAGACCAGCTATGTTATTTCTGAGAAAGCCAACACTACATCTGGCTGCCCCCCACCAAAAAACCACGAAGAAACACAAGCACCTCCCCGGCGCATCCGACAGCCGAGCCGGGCTCCATCCCGTCAACCAGGTCTCTCCGCCGCATCCACTGCCGGGAAAGCACAGGTTTTCTGGGCTTGCTGGGACTGGGACTGGAAACGCCGCACACAAAGAAGTCCTTAGTTTCCAGCTGTTTTGAATTTTCTGTGTATTTGGAAAAAAATAAAATGACTTTTTAATACTGAGAATAGTTAGTGATATTGGATTTGGAGAGGGCGTGGGGGGAAGCAGCCAAACTGAAATGTGCGGTGGATCTTTCACCGGTGTTTTACACATGCAGAGAGAGAATAAAAAATTGTAGCAATTGTTATTTTGTGGGATATTTAATTCCTCCAACTAATTTTGTATGAAACTGGCTTTCGTTTTCATTTCCCCCTGCTTTTCAGTTTTGTTTTGTTTTCCAAGTCTTCCCCACTTTCCCTTCCTTCTTGGAAAAAGAAGGGAAAATAAGAAATGAAAAACTCGCCTTTTCCCATACTTTAACTTTTTTCCAACTGCTCTGTCAATTTATAATCAACCTCTTCTCCAGGTAGGCCCCAGGTAGCCTTTGACACGTTTTAAAAACTCAATGCCTATAGCAAGGTTCCTAATTCCATACTTCCAGCAACAAAAGCATGAGCTGGTTTAAAAAAAATGCTGAGCATGCAGCAGCTCCCAATAAATTTCACACCCCTGCAAAAGTCCTGTTGTCGGGAACTGTTTTCATCCTTTCATTTGCAGGTTGCCTTCATTACTTCCTTCCCTTGGGTCACGAAAAGGCTGTTAGTGACATCTTCCATTTACCAGGTGCAGCCGTAGAAACTCAGAGTAACTCCACTAAACTTAATGTGCTTAATGGAGATACTCTGGATTTGCGTTGCTGCAAATGAGATCAGAATTTGTCCCAGCCACGGGAGCCAGAAGGAGGTCAAACGCTTTACATACATTACCTCCTCTTCGGCATGCTAATGATGTGCAATTTTCAAATGCTTTTCCCCAGACGCCGTGGTTCCAGGAAAGCACTAAAAGCACTCAAAGGATACAAGGCAGATTTCACCGCTGGAGCAGGTGTAGGACCAGCGAGGGGACCAGCCTGAGTGCAGCAAACCTTATTTTTGAGAGTTGAGAGACAAAATGATTTGGCAGTATCCAAAAGATACCAACAAACCCCATCTATCAACAAACCCCATCCTTGCTAATGCTGCTATGGGCAGTATCCAAAAGATACCAACAAACCCCATCCTTGCTAATGCCGCTATCACAGAATCATAGAATGGTCTGGGTTGGAAGGGACCTTTAAAAGTCATCTATTCCCACCCCCCTGGCAATGAGCAGAGACATCTTCAACTAGATCAGGTTGCTCCAACCTGACCTTGAATGTTTCCAGGGATGGGGCACCAACGACCTCTCCAGGCTTTCTCAACTTCCAGGGATGGGGCATCAACCACCTCTCAGGGCTGTCCCACTTATCGACTGCCTTTCCCCACTCCCAGAAAAATCAGTGCTGGCCACCCCAGCAGCCAGAAGCCACGTTGGCCATGAGCACCTTCCTCCACCAGCCAAGGGCTCGAGGGTGGCGAGAGGTCTGCGATGGGACACAGCCCCTTCAGCAGCCTTAAATCACAGCTGCTGCTCTGGCTTCTGCTTTAAGCAGACAAATGCCTCTCCTGATTTTCGGTTCAGCCCCATCCTGCCATCTGTTCCTGGTTTTCCTGAGGTTACCTGTGCAGCTCCAGCGTTTGAACGTGGGCTGAAGCACATGTGGTTTTAAGCTGGATGCTAATTAGAAACATTTAGTGCGTCAAACCTATGATTAATGCACGGAGTTTCAACTGAAACAACCCAGAGTCCCACAGATCCGTGCTCCTTCCCTACTGCAAGACTTTGAGGAGGGGGAAAAGAGCTTTTTTAAAGCAAAACAAGGTCCGAGGCTTGGCCAGTGTAAAGCAGCCTATTTATATTGGAGGCAACGAAGGTTGGTCCATCTTAAAATCTGGCCTGAACACTGTACACTAGATTAAAAATAATAAGAAAGATGTCACAATACCACTCTACTCTGCTTTCTTATTAACAAACACAGCTGCAAGGCATGATTAAGGGTGCTCATCATTCCCATTGTAATTATGAGGTATTATTTGTAATACCATTTCAAATTTGCCTCTCAGTAATCTACTGAAGAAAATCTGATTTCCTTTCACTTCATTATTATGTTTTTGGTGTCAGAATAATACAGAACTGCTTTGTTTTGACCAGGGGAACAGACCCAGTTTTCACGGGGCAAAAAGGATTGCAATGACTGGGAGAAAAAAAAAAAAAAAATAGCAAAAGACAATAAAGTATTCAGGAATTCATCAGGTTCAATATTAATTTCAGAGTTTGCTTTTTTTAAAAAAAAGCTCAGACCATTTAGCAGATGAAAGCTGCCTCTCACCTCTGCTATTCTGAACTTCCAGGACCTCACCAAAACGTGCGAGAAGTTTCTTCAGGTCAATTTTGGGACAGCTTTGCTTTGGCAGGGAACGGCAGAGCTCCAGATCTCAGAGGTCCAAACCAAATATGTTTTGAATTTTGCCATATATCTGGCTTATTACATTCCTGATAAAGAGTCCCAAGATACTACTGTCAGTGAACTATGGAGTGTTTCTCAGGAGCAGCATAAACATCCGATAGCACATCCTTTACCCAGGCTCTTCGCCTCTTCCCGTTGAACGCTTGACAATACCCTGATAGGGTATCTGAGAAAAATAGTGGGTGACCATGAAATGAAAGGCCACCCTATCTACATTTACACAAGGCAGAAACTTAAATTCTGGCCTATTCTAATCATAAATTTTCTTAATATTCTTTAAAACTTGTTATTTTGATGTAATTGCCTGTGAATATTTGCAATACAGTATCAGGTTTTAAAGCTGCCGAAGGCTTCTCGCCCTCGCGTGTTTACACAACTTTGCCAAACTTTAATGATTTGAGATGAGATTTTACAGGTGAACAATCTGCCTCCAGCAATATTTTCTCTTTAATTTGTATCTAAAATGACCTGCCCCTTTCTGGGATGAGGATAAGAAGCGAAAACAACATTCTTCACCTAAGTTAAATAGTTCAAGCAACTTTTTCCTTAAAAATTCCTCACCGCCTTTCCCCCTCTGGAGCAGGCATTTTACTGGGGGTACCCTTGAGGTTGTCCTTGAGAAAATGTGGGCAATTTACAAGCTTTTGTAAAGTCAGAGTTTGCAAAAGCTCCGAAAATCTTACATTTGCAGAAACCTCAACACGTGTGGGGCACGTTCCAACCCGGAACAGAGAGGAGCTGGCCCTTCCCCAGCTGCAGCTCCGGCCACCGCTGCAGACCCACACAGGCTGGGGGGCTGGAGGATGGTGGACGGGGGGGTCTCCAGTTATGAATCATTTGTTCTTGACTCTCTGGTCCTCAGTACAGCACTAAAAAATACCTTCGTAGACTGCCACCACAGGAGTGCTGAGTGGGAAACATTAAAGAGGGTTTCGTTAATAGGTCCCACTTCGAACAAGTTGCCCATGGACCAGCAACGTGTCCTCGTGGCCAAGAAGGCCAATGGTCTCCTGGGAGGTATTAAAAAGAGCGTGGCCAGCAATTCGAGGGAGGTCATCCTCCCCCTCTGCTCTTCCCTGGGAGACCGCAGCTGGAGCACTGGGTCCAGTTCTGGGCTCCCCAGTTCAAGAAGGACAGGGAAATACTGGAAAGAGTCCCGTGGAGGCTACAAAGATATCAAGGGACTGGAGCATCTCTCTGCTGAGGAAAGGCTGAGAGAGCTGGAGCTGTTCAGCTGGAGAAGAGCACAGGAAAGGCTGAGAGCCCTGGGGCTGTTCAGGTGGAGAAGAGCACACTGAGAGGGGATCTCATCGATGCTGAGCAATATCTAAAGGGCGGGGGGCAAGAGGATGGGGCCAGACTCTTCTCAGTGGTGCCCAGTGACAGGACAAAGGACAACGGGCACAAACTGGAACATGGGAAATTCTGTCTGAACATGTGGAAAAACTTCTTTCCTGTGAGGCTGCCAGAGCCCTGGAAGAGGCTGCCCAGAGAGGGTGTGGAGTCTTCTTCTCTGGAAATATGTGGAGTCTCCTTCTCTGGAAATATTCAAAACTCACTGGAGTCTTCTTCTCTGGAAATATTCAAAATTCACCTGGACACTTTCCTGTCCAGCCTGCTCTGGGTGACCCTGCTTTGGCAGGGGGTTGGACTGGATGATCTCCAGAGGTCCCTTCCAACTCCAACAATTCTGTGATTCTGTGAAAATCAAGTCAATGCTGCAACATCACCGTCCAGACACATGGAGGAAAGGGGCTTAGTCCTCATGAATAAACCCGTATCAAACTCCCCCTCCTTGCTGGTGCCGATGAGAAAGCCCAGGGCATGATCTGGGTTGAACCGGAGCGAGGAGCTCCTGGGCTGAGCAGACAGAAGCACCCAGGTGCAACCAGCCACGGGTCTGCAGCAGGGACCTGCCTTGTCCCCACTTTGAGTGACCCACCTGAAACGTTTCGGAGAGGGGGGATCTATAGCTTCGAGCCAGGCAAGGCCAGGCACTTCCCAAAAGTCAGCCCCACTGGCTGTATCAGGAGTTCAGCACTAAAAATGTCAGAGCACCTGGCTCAGAAACACAGGGTTCAGCAGAGCCAAGAAGAACAGACTGACCCATTAAATCTCCTACAAACAGCGCTGCAAGAGCCTTTCTATTCCCTGAACCCTCGGCAACCCTGAGCAAGCATTCAATTCCGGCTGGTTTCTAGAAGCTGGCACAATTGTGGGGCCTCTTTTCTGCTTTAAGCCGACTTGTTTCCTGCAACTGTGCTCACTTTAAAGGACTTCCCATGGTACCCGAGACTATGGGCACTAAAAATAAAGCAGGTAACAGGAGCTAATGGACTGCAAACACAAGCTGTTTCTAGGTTGGCCAGAGAAGGTACTGAAGTGTTTTTCCTTTCTTCCTCTGCCTTCCTTCTGCTTTTTCCTTCCCCAATTCCCTCTCTTTTTAACCCAAATCCCTTAATCTCAGTGCTGATAATTGTAATCACTCTAATATGTAGCCATCTGAGCAGCTAAGAAATGTCCATCTTGGGCCAGTCCCTCTCGTGGTGAGGAAGAATAAATATGAAAAGCACATGGACTCCTCCAGAATTTTAAT